CGGCATGCAACTCCACTTGCGTCTTCATGTCTGACATGCGTGAAAACAGCCTGGGAAACGTCGACTAATTTCTCCGTCTTTGCCTTATGGACTGAAGACAACAATTGTTTTCCTCGGGTTTGGAAGCATGTCGTCCTCGAGCACCAACCGACATCGAGGCGACTGTTTGGGGTTGACGGGCGATTAAACCGCACAAATAGAGGATTAGGGACTTCAGCGATGGCCTCTGGTGTCTCTTGTACCTTCTGGGTGTCCTGTCATCTATTGGTTTGTTTGTTTGATTATTTCTCTCAATGGTAAGGACATTAGATCAAAAGGTCGGGTGGTGCACCATTTGGGTCTGGATATGACTGGCTGACGACGGCTAATAAGCCAGAAATGGCCAGTTGGAAATACTATCTGTCTACACTGCTAGCTGCTATGACTGCTATCAGGGCCCGGATAATGATGCCCAAGGCAGGACAGAGCGGCACAAGTGAGTTCAGTTAGCGGTCGGGAAACGTTCATCAACGAGGATCCCACCAAACTATACAAAGTCCCTGGGTCGGCAACTGCTAGCAGAAACAGAAACGACCGCTACAAGCCTGAGGGAGCCGGTGTTGTGCGCGCAAAAGAACTTCCCAAAAGCTCCACCTCTGGCTCCACCCAACCCTCCGCCGGTAACCATTCTTCTGTTATCGACCCCTTCCCACAGATTGCTGCGACTTGCATGTAGGAGAAGACGAACATTATTCACTACTTATTTAACTTGTACCATGTTCCCAGATAAACGTAGTGGCCCGATGACAATTAATCGAAAACCTACGTGTGCTCGCCAGCTACTTCTACAAACTTTAATGTATCTCGACAGTATTCTGCCATTCCGTTTGTTATTATATGGAGCACTTGTATCCTTAAGACACCAAACGCGATAAATGTGCTTAAGACTGATGTGATGCGTTTGGGCGAGGGGGAAAATTAGTGAAACATAAGATGGCTCAGAATTTTGTGGCGGACTGCCAAAACTTTGTCCGACTTCCTTGTTCAATGCCCGCCATGGCAACGTCACGAGCCTTCACGGGCAGCTTGTGACTTAGTGACCTGAAGGCCCTTGATCGACTTCCCCGCGTGCGCAGACACGCGCGTTCAAATAGTTGCGGCTGCCAAAGGGCCACTTGAACACATCACATCTCGGCCAATGCAGCAGGGGCCTCTATATGTGACATTCGTGAACTTGCTTCACAATCATTCAAAAGCGGCTGACCCCGTGCACTCACAATATCGGGCTTCAGCAGTATCCACTCCTGCCTGAGAGAGCAATTCAGGGTTCTGTGTACAACAACACCCTCATTCTGTTGCCTCTTATATACCTTTTCGGAATTGGCCTGATGATTGTAGAGCTGTAAGCTCAACGACGGCTTAGATGCTACAACTTGCAGCAGTGCTTTTGAAATATTGGAACCCCTCCCCATTTGTATGTCAAAAGGGTTATCGTTGGCTTTTCCCAGCACTCATTCCAGGAAGACGTTCCAGTTCCCCCAATGCGTGTGCATTGCTGACGAATAAAAAACGTCAGAGTGGCATTCTCGTTGCATGGATGACTTGGACGTAACTGTGCTACAACCACAAAAATCAGTCAAAAATAGGTCAGGGGATTCCAACAAATGCCTCGTTCTTATTGAATATCACACACGGCACTTTGGCGACCTATAACTAAGTGGAACTGAGATTGCAGGTAATAGTTTTGAAGTAAATCACAATTAGCGATACCTGAGAAGCTCGGATGGTCATCTGGTAGTGAGCAGATAGAAGAAAAAATTAAGATTCCATCTTTACTGCATCTAAGAACATTCCTTAGTAATCAGTTTGATTCGATTTTGAAATCACCAGGCCGCGCTAAAAATCACGGCTTATAACACTGCCGAATGATTGGGCGACCCGACTCCTGTGGAGAGCATATGGAATAACATGTTGTCGTATCGTGAGTCAAGCTCAATAATGCCTTCTGAATGCGACTTCTTTGACACTCCCACTCAGACAAGATTTGAGCTGTCACTTCACACGAAACCCTGGTACATTATGCATGGACCGGACCTTGCGTCGCACATGAAGATGTTTTTTTTAACGTCGTAAGCGACTACGTCTGAGCCGCCCCCTGTCGTCCTGGTTTGGGGCCAGGTGGGCGTCGAAGGAGCAAATGTTACACATTCTAGGTCAGTCTATTAGCATTATAGGATAATGCACGCACAAGCCACCGCCTTGCGTCTACCATGCTGTGGAGTACACGGTGAACATAGTCGCATGCGAAAGTCGAATGACAACAGGTATTAAAAAAGAGACTCTGTACATCTAGACAACGCGTTCTCGGGAAATTTATCCATACTTTTGTCTTTGACGGGATTTGAGTAATTGTTGGAATGAGGACTGTGTTTAGCGATATATAGCTTGGGAAATAAGGTGCATTTCAGACGTAGTGTCTACATCTGCTGCTAAGTGAACGACCCCGAACTTGCCATTTATGCCCCCAAAATCTCCGATTAATGCTTTGGGGTTCGACTCCAAATGTAAAAGTACAACACGAGCAAGAGACGAACCTTAGGTGCACTGACGACTCAAAATGGCTAAATGTATGTCCCTGAGCTGAACTATGCCCCTAGTTACATTTATCTTTTGATGCTCACGGGATTTATGAACCAAAGTTTCTATCCACCAATAGCTGATACAAATCAACTTTGATAATATAAAACCCTATTAGTTGAAACAATAATGGAGTATTTAAAGTTGCAAGGAGTTCGCATCAGAGGACTCAGAAGAGGAGTTGGCGATATTACGTAAGCTTTCGATAAAGTCGTAAAAATTACAAAATCAGAGATTTTTAACATCGGAAAATATGCTTCCAGTAGAAAATCAGAAAAGGCACAATTTGCTGTCAAAGGCGTACAAGAAAGACTACTGTTGTACATGCATTCTGCAAAATACATTTGATTTTTTGCCCCCAGTATACTGAACTGAACCGAAATCTTTGCTAGTAAACGGCATGTTGCACCTCAATTCAACTCGATGAAAAATATAAAAATTAACTGAAATGTGTGCTAAGTCACCCATTCAAATTTTCATCTTCACAGTTCATCAGTTCAGTTCACAGTTTTCCTACTGTAAAAGAAAACAATATTGCTCAACAAGCATTGATGTGTGCATAAACTCCCGTCTCTATTCTGCGCTAATACTTGTTCGGTTCTTTTACAACGAGGTGTATGTTTACCATTGATTCTTTTGGTAAGAATGACTCGTATTGCCACCACAACAGGACACGGAAACAGGAACCACCCACAATATATGTAGTTTTTTGCCAAGCTCCCGGGAAACTAGGTGTAAGATTAAGTTAAGGGTTAGATTTATGGTTGGTTTTAAGGTCAGTGTTGGACTTTCGGTCAGGAGTAATCTTGGGGGTCAGAGTTTTGCTTCGCTTTAACTTTACTAGGGCTTAAACTGAGGCCACTGTTCATTACCATGTTAGAGTTAGTGTTGGTATTGGGGTTCAGACACGATCTTCTTTACCCCTTCTCATATTTATCTGAAGGCCCCCTTTAGGAAGTAGTTCTTATCGTCCTTTTTCATAAGTATGCACAGCTTTGTGTAATAATCTTCAATGCATCTCACTTTTGTGCCATTCTGGACAAATTGTGCATCAAGCTAGCTGGCCTTTTTTGTTCTGCGATAGGCTACAGTATGTATTGAAGCAGCATTCGGAAAGTGAATTAAATGTCTACCAAGCTGCACTGTACAATCCATTCAGTCAGCAGCAGCCCGCCACACAGCATGTTGTATTACAGACACACCCTTGCATTATTTTTGCTTTCAATCTTACAAAAAACAGCCAGTCAAAAGGGGCTGTCCATCTGTTATCCAGTACAACTACCGCGAGACTACATGATTTCATGCAGATTATGCAAATATACTTACGTCGGGAAACCAAACACTGATTGGCTATCAGCCATTTGGCGCCATATTCCTGGCAAGCAGTAGGAATCAAACAGCGATTAGCACAAAGCGCATTATTCATGCTGAGCAGCTCTATGCACAGATTGAGAAGAGTGCAAGCCTGGCCTCGATAAACCTGATAATTAGTAATGTGCTGTTTGGTTTTTCATACAGATTGCAAGCTCATTCTGGTCACAACAGTGGTCATAGGCTTTCTTTATTAGGCGCCATTGTAGCCAGTTGACTAGCATTCAAGAATAAATTATCATAATTGCGTAATTAGTCGACGGTTAACTTAAAAGTATCAAAACAACCTGAAAATATTTTGAATCCGCAATCACCTCTTCTAAAAAACTTGTCCAGATCTCAAGAGCAGTCTGCAATTTTGAAAGGCAGAAGCGTCATCGCCGAATGCCACACTAAAATTTCTGTAAGACGTCATCTCTATCCCAAAAGCTTAGAACACCACGTAGCTGACAAGGACTTCCATTGTTTTATAGGAAAGACAAGTCAAGCAAGTCAAATTAAGTCGTGTGCTCATATACCTACACTCCCCCTGTTCAACGCTTGTCAAACGCACCGCCAGGAAGGGTTCGTATATTAATCGGCACCGTCAGTATCTGCCAGAATTTATGCACAAGAAACATATACATCAACCGGGAAAATATGCAAATTACCGTTATCATGTGCAACTGATATGTGTGCGGGTGTTTGCGTGCGTGCGTACGTGCGTTTCTGTTTCTCCTCTACCAATAAATGCAGTGTGAAACCAGGAGCCGTACTTTCCGTCAACTCAACACTAGCAGAATAGGTAGATATCTCGGTGCAACCTCATCCATTGGGAAGATGGGGTCT